AGACAACCTTCAACATGAAAATTATTGTTTGTGTGTTTCGTGATTTCGTATTCGTTGAGAGTCCGAGGCTCGGGGGCCCAAGGGATGTCGAAACTTTAATTGCGAACACCAATCTTAAATTCTTAACGATGTTGGATTCATATCGGTGGCACATAAACATTTGTCGAATAAGTCTAAAGTTAGCATAAAAAAAAAAAAAGTAGTAGAAAATCATAAAAATATTGTGTTCGTATTATTTGTTGCGACTGAACTACTAAATTAAAACGGAGAAAGGTAGAAAGATAAATCGATGTTTACCCGGAATCGTCGTTGTGGGAAGTTCCATTAAGCCAAGAAGTCAAAAATGAATCGGACTTATACTGAAACAACCCAATAATTGACTTTGGACATAAATCCACCAGATCGGTGGGATTTAAACAAAACGACTTAACCTATTACGTTTGTCTCAGCACAGAAAGCTATGACTGTTCGGCCTACAAGCGTAGCGTCTGAACTGTGTACTAACTGATCGTTGTTAACTGACGAACATGCCAGTCAACTTATTTTTGTAACCATTATTAAGGACCATGTTCTCAATCCAACGTTTTTAAATATTATTTTATTTTTATGATGCAAAACTGAACCAAGGTAAGCGGCATTAAAACACGAGTTCATTTTACATTTTTACGAACAAATTGAATGACCTAGAAAAATAATTTAATTACTCGTATTACTATAATTAGAACATTATATATAGTATGAATAATTGATAAATTTTACTATGACTAATATTCAATTACTATTCGAGTATTTGTCCTTCGATTGACAAACATTCTATTATGTTCTCAGATTATTCGATTGATCGATTATAACCGAAAATACTTACTACGTACTTCTGTACTAAAACTGTCAATGGTTACAGCGATAATATATTATGAATAATTTAAAAAAAAACTTTTAGTTATTTTTAAATTGTTCGTTTTAAGTGTCGATTTTTGATTACTATATCAAAATAACGCAAAAAAAAAAAAAATAGAATAATTTGTCGATCGTATTATTCTGTACCGTTTCAAGCGACACCTAAATAAACACAATCCGCGGGTCGTTGGCATTATTAGTAAATTAATAACTGCACTAAAAATTCCATACAAACAATTCTATTGATAGTCTATTTGACTACGACGATTTGTCTACAATATACACCCTTATTTTACACGAAAGTGTCGATAGCAAAATGAGTTCTTTTTTTTTTTTTATAAAATAAGGGGGATGGCGTGTGGGTGGGTGAACGAAACCACTCATGTCTCTGTTCGAATTGTTTGGTAGGTAGTATTTGAAATATGTTATCTGTCCAAATACAATTAAGTTCAGCCCCACTGATGAGCTATACACTGCAATGCGCTCGCCCATCCTACGCAGCCCCGTCTACTGTAGTCTTGTTCATAATCATAGAAGCGTCTCGATGCCATTACTTGTTCGATTTCGACCGGGGCTTCGGTGTTAATTGATTTCACGACACATACGTGGTGTATACGATGCACGACGAGATCACGTGTATTGAATTCCTCGTCACGTTATACCTTCGGATCGAACTGGACGTACGAAATTGGTTTACTCTTTAAACTTGGCCCGTTGTCAACGAATGGGTGTAGCATAAAGGACTACTTCTCGGGTTCCAAGTCTCCAAGGGTAGAGAGCGTCGTCCCTCAGAACAATTTTATAATCATTTACTGTAATGAAACAATATTAATTCATTTTATGTGTGTACAACATAGCTACATAAGCGATATGGTCAAACCCTAACCTGACCACGTGGGTTATTTGAATGAATCGAAAACTATACTTTTTTTTTATTCACGTATTACGAAATTTAAATACTACTTAAATTTTAATATTACAGTGGTATGTATATTTTATTCAAATAAGCATGGATAAAGGGGGTCCAAGAATCAATCAGCCTTGAGGCTCACTAAAGCTGTGACGGCTCTGACTTCACTCTTAATTTGTGTAAATGTTTTTAGCGGTATACTTTCGCACTCATATAATATTATGTAGCTATTGTCCTTATGAAATTAAAATCTTATAAATCTAAAGTTCCACCTAATTAATAATATTTAGATTGTTTAATGTATACCAGAAACAGGGGCAGACAATAATAGTATGTACCGTGGCCGACTCTTATTAAAATTAAACACTAATCAAGGCCCATTAAACTTACGGTTCACTTTGATTTATGGTATTTTAAAAGATACTATATTAAATCATGAACGCAAAACGAAATAGTCCGCCCCAACGGTGCACATGTCCAGTATACGTGGCCATACGCGTAACTACGGCAGTCAACAACTTAGTGCGTTTAAACGTCATTAAACTGAAAAGTGCATCAAAAATCGAAGCCTTCCGGCTAGATGTGCACTATGTCCATACACATATAAAATCATACAGTGGTTGTATAAATACGAAAATCTAATAGAATCCATAAATAAATCGAAAAAGGTAAATATTCTAATTCAACTAGTTACCACAATTCGTCACGTATCCAATACAACCACGTCCGGCCTGTCATACGATATCATAACGGCCGTCAAACCAACATCCAATATTTCCAATTCGACGTCAAGAATTATGAATTCATTCAAAAACGTTATTAGACCCTTAAATCTCTTTACTTACAGTCCTTTTAAACAAACTCACAACAAACTTCTCGTCATTTTTAGTAATTTCAATATCAAACCTCATTAATATTATCATTATCTAAATTTAATGTTATCGCTATATTGCGTATCGAATAACTGAAATCTTTAATTGCTTTGTAAGCATTAGCATCACATCATCAATTATCATATCATTAATTATATTAATTGGGTATACTTGCTTCAAGTGCCGTTGGTATAAAGAGCGCTCTTGAGTTAATGAAAAATAAAAAAGTCATGAACATACCCCGTACTTCCACCTACGTAAGGGCACTGAATTTTTATTAGCCCTGGGCGTCAAACTTTCTGAATCCGGCGCAGTAAATGTCTTATGTTATATTATATGTCATACGTTTGTAAGAACATTAATTCACTGGAAGAATTAAAATAAAAAAAATAAAAATAAAAATAAAAAGACTAAGTTAACTCGTGGTAAGTTCCGCATTATTGGTACATAAAATAAAATTATTAATAAATTTATATTTATTTATTAATAAAATTTAAATATTTTGTTATTGCGCAGCTATGTCAATATTATAGTACCTATGGTTGTACATAGATCATACGAGAATTTGATAGTTTAGGGGCAACAGTATTTAAACGAATAATTAATCGATTGCAAGTGTATTATAATGCAAATATATGTTTACGTACGAGGGAACAAGAACAAATATAGCCAAATATTCAATATTGTTGTTATCATATATGATTGATTTAACAAATAAAACTACAAACATTTCAATTCGCTAAACCAGAGGTTCCCAAACTTTTTTTTCCGCAGTGCCATTTTTTGGACTCAATTTAGCCACGGTGCCCTGCTGTGGGTTACATGAAAGACAAGATAAAAAAAAATACTTATTGATAACTAATTTTATTAACTTAGTTAAAATTTAACTTAATTATAAATTAATGAATTTTCAAACTAAAAAAATAAAAAAAATAAAAATTATTTTAATCATTATTATAATTATTACATAAAAATATTATAAGGTTAAAATGAGAATGTCCTAATATACAATAGAAAATATTTCATTATTTGTTATAAAGTTTTTTTGAAAACAATAAGGAAAAATAAATCTAAACATTTTAAACTATTTGTTATGAACCGTAGACCACGGTGCCCTTTGACTTATATGAAGAATATAAATATATACAGGTATTTACACATATCATTAAAACAATAAGATATTACGCCGATGGCTTTTAAAACTTAAATGATCGAAGTTCATTAAATGTATACACCTGTAAACACAAGGTAGCAGATGAGATTTAAAAACACAGTTGATGATTAAAATGCTTTTGTGTTTCACCATTATACTTACGAAACGTTTTCTATGCAAATGTCATGCATTTCTCAGAAGTAATTATAAATTCTTTAGTAATTATCAACTTAATACACTGCACTGTATGAGCCCGATATTCCAACAGTCGCTATGATTGAAAAACAAATGTTTTATGATTGGATCACATTATGGACGAGAACGGGAAATCTGATTTTTGATAAAACAAAATTTGTGAGTTTGCTCCTTCGTCGTTTTTCTGTAATAAAAAAAAAAAAAAAAAAAAAAAAAGATTAAGAGAAAAATATGATATCGATTTTCATAAGATGTAATAATTTTAGTTGAATTATTAAATCGAAATGCATCGTAATCAACATCGCAAGAATCCAGTAGTGGGGCGAGTTTTTAAGAAAATAATGATATAAATATATATAAATAATATAATAATATATAATAATACATATAAATGAATAGTCGCGATATGTTTGGTACGCAGGAAATATGCTACAACGAATGATAAGTTTTGAAATAATACTTACAGCGGTAATACGTTTTATATGGCCAATAAATTTAATTCAATGGTAATCTAAACGAAAAGGAATGGTAGTTAACCTAACCGGGAGTATACGAGTATACGATACATTACGGTGCAATAGGCGCACGTGTAGAAAGGAATCGTGAATTTTTAAATCAATATCACGGAATAATTAATAAATATATTATTGTAATGGTAATGACGAAATGCTCTGCGTATTTACAATAGAAATCGATACGGATAACTCGACCTTGATAAAAATGACGTTGGTCGACAAGTTACGTGAATATCTTTTTGCAAACATAAAAATAATTTCCTCGAAAATAAAAATCATAACGTTATCCAATAGTCTAGTACTGGATGTTACATTCTACAATATGCGCGTTGCATATAGAATATTAATATTATAATATATATATTACATGTTATTATTTTAATTATACGTAGATATGATATGATATATAACATCATTTTCGTTACGTTTCATTTATATTTCCTCTCGAAATATTCATCCGTTTTTTAGCATTCATTCCGTTCTGTTAACTCATGAAAAGTGCGCACGTGGGCAGGTGTCGTCGATGTGTCAGTCCGCTCTATATTTTCTTCGTTTTCTTTAAAATCAATTTTCTCTGCATCATTAAACGGTAATTATAATTCATCATTAATTATTATGTACGTATACAATACATCTAATTTACAGTAACGGTCCATTACTATGAGTACTAGATGACACGACCACGTATTCTCGATGGACCCGGCACGTGACAAGGCCACTTATTAACAATTGTCGTCTGTGTAGCTTCAGTGGCCTTACTTTAAACTTAGAAGCGTAAAAAGAGAAAAAAGAAGAAACTTAAAGTAATTTATAACTCATCCCCTAACATGTCTACTAATTACGATCCTCTGTCAACTGAGTTGGGTAAATGGACCAAGTCAATGTTAATTGATTTCGTCTTGTCCAAATCACTTCCAACTGGTGTTAAACTAAGTGATGATTTATCGCTAACACTTAATTGCCCGCCTGATTTCGTTCTTCCGCCATCTAACTCACTGGATGTTGCAAATTTAGTACAATCAATCGTTTTCGAAATCAAAAATATCTCCGTGAATAATTTGAAAATGCACGACAAACTCAACCACGCTGGTGTAATGGGATCCGCTTCTAATGCTGTTAACCCCAAAATACCTCTAATTGGTAAGCCAATGCAAATAACCCAACCAACGTATAATTATGTGATCTTAACTGTAAAATGACCCCCATCAACTATACTTTAGAAGTTTATTATTGGATCCGATTGTGTAAAATCTACAAAAATTTCTGATGTGCCTATCCGTAAGTATGCAGATATATTTGTCTCAAAACTGGATACATACGTTACCAACGCGATGCTCACATTTGAACAGTTTCCTACACTCGATGATATCACTTAGCTAGTGATCAAGTAACCAATTTATATTTCCTTTCGTGTTCAGTAGTTTCTCCACAACCTAAATAAAGTATTGGATCCATAATTTTGGTCTATAAGTGTCACTGTGGTGTTTCTGGAGTCGCCTTCAACCAAGTATGGTGTTTAACTCAGCTCACTCGACTCAAAAAAACTAATTGAAAAGTTAAATTCTAATGTACCACTTGGCTTTTACCAAAACTGTAGAAGTTTAAGATCCAAACTTCATATATTTAAATTTATCTGTTTTTCATTACATTTTTGTTTGTTTAACTGAAACATGAATAGTTTTTATGGTAGTGAATTAGGTTTATCAAATTATTTTATTTTTCGATGTGATAGAAATAGTTCAGTGAGTAATTCATGTAAAGGTGGTGGTGAGCTCATTGCCAATCGTGATGAAACTACATATAACTTAATGCCAGTAACGATTAACAATGTCGAATATGTACTCGTGAGGTTTGCTACCAACAATGTTACTTTTGCCGTTAGTTCCGTCTATATTCCTCCTATCAGGCATATTCACATATATGAATCATTTATGTGTACCGTCCAAGCTACAATCTCTATTAATACTGATTGTGAATTTTTATTTCGTGGTGATTTTAATATTTCAGATTGAAACTGGTCCAATATTAGCTATGGCATCTCGTGTAGTTCAGTCTCTAGTCCTGGAATACATTGTGTTTCTGAAATATTTGCATGTCTCAACTTTATCCAACTAAATAGTGTACTTAGTTACACAGTTAATCTTGTATTTTGTACTATTATTATTCGTGTTAATTATATAACCTTTACTGTTAAACAGCTTCGTTTAAATTTGTGTAACGTCCACTTGTATTTAATATTTTATTTCTATTAACTATGTATATTGGGCTCCTGGCCCGAAAATAAATAAATAAACATAATATTACATTATATAATACTGTTGTAATATATTTTAATGTTATCATTATTATTCATTTTTTTCCGCCAATAGTTACGACGTTTATTAATCGTCAATAAAACGGCGCGATCGCTTGTATGACATTAATGTGTCGTAGTCATTTACGTCTCATATCAGTTATCTGTCTAATTTCGGTTTTCCACACAAGACTGATGCGGAATACAATGATTGGTATGTAACACGTGCAGATCGTGTTGAGCGCTACTCGCAGAGCCGACGCCTTCTCGCCGTAAATATTGATAACCACATGTGCACCACGAAGTATTTTTAACGTTTCCAAAGTTCCCCGTACAAACTGCGTATAATAAATAATAATAATACATGGTGCCAGATTAAAACAAGCAGTGTGAGTAATGTTTCCGAATATTTTATGACTTTTCCAACAACAATGTTTTTTTTTTCTCTATATATTTATTTTATTTTATTGAATAAATTCGATACGTTTTATGAACGTGATATCAGCTGTAATAATAATCTCACGGGGTGCACTTGAAGTCGGCGCCGTTATACTTGTGTACCATTGGTTTTATAACACTGTTGTTCAGAAAATGTCGAATCGTAATTCGGATTTCGAACAATCGCAACACCGCGTTTTAAAAAAAAATATTTTGTACGATTTTCGAGGTTGGTTCTTCACGCGCTAAAACAAACATTTTATTGATCAACAATCGTAAAACCACAATTTGGGTTACCAAAAAAAAAAAAAACAGTTTAATCAAGTTCTCAGATACACGTGGGTTAAAATTAATTTTATCTACGTGGCGATGTCTGATTAAGATACACAATTAATCACATTCGATCCTACGTATTTCTATAAATATAAACGTACGCATTGTGCAGCAGCAGCAGCAGCAGCAACCCTTATAATACGGTATAATAATACACTGGTCTAAGAACAACGTGAACGTATCGCATATGCATAACGTGTGATTTATCCGAGTTCGCGTATTCACCACTTTTATTGTTATCTAATTTCACCGCAAAGCGCAACAGAACGTTATCTCGCTGACACCGGTCGAGGGCACGTTATGTAACTGCGTTCGGTTCGAATGCGTTAGTGGTACGTTTTGTGGTCCGCAGGTGAATATTCGCTCCGGTGGTGCACGTCGTGCGAAGAAATATAAATCCGCGCGTGAGATATATTACGCCGCGTACGTGTTTTCGTTTTTTAATAAGAAAAATTGCGCGTACGATACTTTGAGCTGGTGACAGCCTTTCAACGGGGGCGGTCGCGGTTTATTTCGCGTGTATGACATTAACGCGATAAACTCTCTAAATATTCTTCTGCCGAAAAAAATAGCTGTCGACGGAGGGACGGGGAGGAAAGCGTTTTTTAAATATTATACGTTCGAGGTCGTGATAATATCGTACACTTTCCCAAATACATAAATTACCTGCACACCGCGTTTTATACGGTGCAAATGTAAGACGCGTACAACAATATATCGTACGGTTTAACGTTGTTCGATGTGTACCGTTGTCACGCGGTGCGTGTCCGCAGATATTAAATCTGTCGCGGTTTAACTTTGGTCCGCCGAAAAACGTGTCGATCGCGCGGAGAAGCCTAACCCGGCGGCGAGGCGTAAAACACGTCGCAACATTATGATCCGTGTACACGTGTTTGGTGCAGGGACTGGAACCTATAGGTTTTTTTCGGTTCCGGTTTCGATCTTGGTTGTTCGTTTAATTTTTTAAGGGTTTCGGTTTTTTTAAAGATTAAGGGTTCTAAAACCGTTTAATTTCGGTTAATTCTGATTATTAGAGATTTATTAAAAAATAATATGAAATTATTTATTTATTCTTGTTTAAATTGTAATTGTTTCATTTCATGAAAATAGGAGGTATTACGAATAGTTAAAAAAAAGGAATTATAAATATATTAAATATATATATTATATTTCTTTGAGTTAGGTTAAGTTATTTTGTCCCGACTCATAGTAAGAATTTGTAAAATATTTTGTAATATTGTGAAATATTATGATTTGATGAAATAAATATCTTTAATTTAAAATTTAATTTTAAATAGGAATCAATGTTAATACTGGTTACTGTTGTAGCTACAAATTTTTTATAAACATTAATTATATTTAATACTTAATAGACAAGCTAGATTGATATACTTATTGTAAATTGTAATATATTAATAAACACACAAAAACAATAATAATAATAATAATAATATTAAAAATTTACTTATTATGTACATATAATATATAAATATATACACTATTACAGTTTACAACACAAAATAATAAAAACATAAAAAGATTTGACTTTTATTTTTCTGAGCCGACAAATGGATAAACAAAATAGTCATTACTATAGTTTTACTAGTCTAAATAACTGACCTAAATTAACATTTTTATAATTAAGGTTACGGTTACGGTTTTTCATTTTTGGAAATAAAGTTTTCGGTTTCAGTTACGGTTCCTAAATTTTAAAGGTTAACCGGTTCCAGTACCGATTCTTTTCGGTTACGGTTCTGGTCCCTGGTTTGGTGTGAAACTAACAAAAAAAAAAAAAAAGTCCTCGACGCGAAAATATGGACCCTTGATTGATAGCGTTTATCAATGGTCATCGTCCATTTTTAAGTTTGCCGCGCGCAATCGATGACGGTACGGGAACGGACGATGCGTAAATATTGCAGCCCCGGAGTAGGGACCGTGTATGTGACCAGTGTTCGGACGGAACGAAACGTTCGAAATAAAATTCGACGTGAGAGGGAGCGCGCGCGTAATCATGTACATATTATTCTCGTTTGCTTGTGGAATACCGCTTTCGGGTTAATTAATCGAAGGACATTCCGACGCGTGTCCCGCGCACGTTATACGTGTAAATCACGTCGGGATCTCTCCCAATAGTTGTCGAGCACACGTACGACGTATGAAAGGTGTGCGCGCCGTCGCGTTAACGGACTCGTCGGGAACGGATTTCTACGTCCTTTACCCCCTAAAGGAGAAAAAAACGAAATCGGAGAAGAAAAAAAAAAAACCATTACGTCCTGAAAAGATATAAACATAAATATACGTAACTTAAAAAAATGATAAACGTGACGGCGGCGCACACGCATCGATACATGTATCCGACGGAAAACGCTGCAGTCCTTTTGTCCGTAAGTGTGTACAGGACACCGAACAACAATAGTTATATTATACGGTGTCTATTACACGGTGTACGCGTCGTTATAGTCGATAACGCTCGCGGTCCGGTGTACATTGTGTTCTAACGTCACGTTAAGACATTACGGATAATCGCGCGTTTCCGCGGTTTTCCGGCCGTTCGCGAGCCGTGCGAAAACGATCGAATAATACCGTCGTCACGGTGAAAACGAGAAGAAGAAAAAAAATCGTTATTACAATATCATAACATTACGATATGACAAACGCCGGAAGAATATTGCGGGGCTCGAAACCGAAACGATACATTTCGGTAACGGTTCGGTTTTGATTTCCGCTTTTCGATTTTATCGGTTTCCATTTCGGTTCTATACGCCGGTTTGCAGACTTTCCGTTTTCAATTTTCGATTTCGTTCGACGGTTCACACTTTTTCCCGTTTCCATTTGGGGTTTTAAATACCGATTTCAACCTTTTCGGTTTCCATTTCGGATTTTAAAATCGTGTTTCGTCAACTTTTTGATTCTATTTTTTCCTGTTCAGATTTCAGTTTTTAAATCCGGTATTTACTTACACGCTCCAGGTATACTTATATCCAGTGCTGTTGCACGCGCCAAGTAATATTAAAAATCCCGACCGTGTACATGTGTTACCTCGAACAACGTTTCTATATAATCCCAAGTAAAACGACTCGTATTCTTTTGACACGCAGAACTATACTAATACGTTGTATGCCTGATGTGACCCGATTCATTAGATTTTACATTTGTTTCTATTTGTAATCCTTGGTAATGGTGAATGAAACAATTGGTTCCCATCTATTTGTACCTAAATTATTTATTTCCCCCCCTCCCAGGTATGTGTGGTAGTCGATTACTTATAATCGAAATATAATTATAATACACACCATAATATTATACGGATTCCCACATTTTAATCGTATCGGTTTACGATTTTAGATTTTTGTTTTCAATTTGGTTTTTTAAAATCAATTTTAAAGTTTTCGATTTCCATATTGGTTTCCAATACCGGTATTCATATTTTTAGATTACGGTTTTGATTTAGAAAATTGGCTGTGTATTTATTTGATTTCCAATTGGATTTCAACTACGGGGTTTCATATTTTTCGGTTTCAACATTTATTTTGATTTTGATATTGATTTTTATCAATATTTACCGGTGTTTAATATCAGTTTTGAATTCGGTTTCAAGCCCTGTTGGATATTGTGCAACGATCAGTTCGAGTAGGCAAAATATTGAATTCGACGTTATCGGTGTTGCGTGTACATAAGTTCGGGCGCTCTTCAAACCAATCGAAAAACAGTCGCAGGACACACGTCGTCATCACCGTCACGTTTTTTATTACCATTTGAATCTTCACTCGTCGGATATATCCTAATTTTCATTCGATTATTTTCTCTAAGCGACCATTCGTGTTTTTAAATCTTTCGCCAGACAAATGTTTAGAAATATTTCGAGGGACTGCGTGTACCCGTGTCTCGGGGTGGTCCAAGTGTGTACTGCCGATAGAAATACATCTGTGAGAGTTAAGTTTTTTCTTGTTTTAGGGTGATGTTACTGCAGAGTAACCGTATGAAGAACGTTTTGTCCAATCCGTATTTTCAGCTTGGAAAAAATAACTTTTGAATTTCTATAAATTATAGGTCATTTTACGAAACAAGTGTTGTCATGAACATTTTGAAGTATAGCGATTGAAAATCCATTAACCGATCAAGTACACGGCAAATGTAGGTTTTGAAAAGA